CATAACGCGTACACAAGGTACACCCGCGTTCCGGGGCGGTTCTCACCGCTCCCAGCCACCGATTAGCTAATTGCACAGTCGGCGGCCATCGGGGTTTCGGTCCGAACCGCAACTTCGATGGCCCTTAGATGACATGTCATAGTTAAACGCACGTATGAGCACATGCGCGGCCCTACCCATAGCGGAGGGCCCAAACCCGTGGTTTCTGGCTAGCCCACCGGTTCTGCGTCAGATGAAGCTTTAATAGTCTCGGGACTGAAAGCAAAAACATCAGTTAATACAAGATACAAGGTGAACTGTCTGCTCGCTTGACAACTTTTCGCATTAAAAAAGTTGTTCTTATTTGTTGTTATAGCGGCAACAAAAATACAGCATGTGTGGAAATTTCAACTGTCTAACTATCACGGTTCACGAGATACAGTGACTCCTAACAACGCTCTCCGAGCGATGATATAGGATATATATCATATCCATAACTACAAATGTATTTTTGCGTATTCCTTTTTAAAAATAGTACATGGAAAGCGTTCGGTGATTAATGTTCACCCAAAAAGCGCTCAACGCGCCGAAAGAAAAGATATGTTCTTCTAAAACCATTATCTGTATCGACTGAGTTTATGATTGTTTATGAATTTCTTTGCTTCTTAAAATATAGCGCTGCAGTTTAAATTATAGCCCCCGCCCTATACTTTAAACTGTTCAAATTTTTGTTATCTGGAAAACCATTAACCTTTTCGTTGTTTGTTACGTCAATACTAATTATTCAGTGTGTTGACCAGCAAGTTTGAGTCCTATTCCCTTTGACGAAGGTTTCTTATAAGTTACTATGAGACAACACGACATAGGTCATAATTTCTCAAAGCCAAATCGATATTATCTATTTAACTTTTGTTTACTCAATGGCTGCTTATCGAAAAATGAAACAAGCAAGAAGACACTGTTTTGATTGAATTATAATACCTTTCTATGCAATGATATTTTATACTATATACTACTATAAATAGATATATATCATATATACTGTTATAGCATAAAATATTATTAGTTCTATGCATCATAAGCGTCTTTGATGTAACTCAATTTCTCTTTCAATACAATAATCTTAATAATCTCTCCTCGCTATTTGATCGAAAAACCATATTATAAAATCATGTCTCGCTCATGCATCTTAAAAATAGTTATTTAAATCATACAAAAACCACTAACAGTTTAAACTTTTTGAATTGATGTGAATAATGCATATTGTTATCGAAAATTATCATCTGGCGTTCTTATTGTTTAAAATTTGTAGAAAAAATGGACGAAAAGTTTTTCGCCGCTCCAGGAGTCAAAACCACGTCTTCCGTCTTCCGGATTCGCGCCCAGAAGATTTAACCACTCAGCTAAACGCCTGATTGCCACACAGACGAAAATCTCAACGTGCTTGGTCTACATTGTTATTTCGCAATATTGTGAGCTTAAAAACGCGGTAGTATTATTAAATATCTTTTCCGGGTTAAGTACCCAAAGCGTAAAACGGGACTCTATTACTTAGACTCCGCTGTCTGTCTGTCACCAGGCTGTATTTCGTGAACCGTCATAGTTAGACAGTTGAAATCTTTACAAATAATGTGTTTCTGTTGCAGCTATAACAAGAAATAGGTACTAAAAACAGAATAAAAAAATATTTAAGTAGGTTCCTATACAACAGACATGATTTTTTTGCCGTTTATAATAACCGTTTAATATAATTAACGTAGGAAACCCCTTGTGAGCGAGCCCGACTCGCACTTGGCCGGTTTTTATGCAAAAGAATGTCAATATTTATGCCTTGGTTACATTTTTTTTATGTGAAAGTTGCCAAACGAGCAGACGGTTCACTTAATGTTAAGTGAATATCGCCGCCCTTGGACATTTGCTACACCTGACGGTTACGGATGCGTTGACAACTTTTTGATAATTGGGCTCTGGCTACCTCACTCACCAGACGAAACGCGAAAGTATTTGTCATACTTCCACTTTACGCTGGTCTTCTGTGATGTCGTGGTACTTACCCGGACGGGCCTGCCCATTCGTGCAACAGCCCAGGCTGCTACTACCGTTAAATGGTTACAATATTTAAATCCTAACCTGCCAATAACGATAACGTTGCGTTTTTAATCATTCATTGTATTATCCGCCAGTTTTTATTTAATGGTATATATAGTCAACCTTAATTACGATGATGTGAATATAATAGTCTTTTTACAACAGCAAGTCTCAAACACGTAACAAAGTTATCGTTTTTTGGATACATTCAGCGGCCAGTTTATAGGACTAAAAAATGACTATTATCTTCACCGAGAAGACGCTGCAATAGGTATTCAAAATTACATTTATGTATCGTTATTACAAAAACATCAATGCCATTTAAATTTGGACATTGATTAATACTTCAACATGGAAAAGGATTTATTGCTAAATAAAATCTTATACATAAAATTCTCGTGTCACAATGTTAGTTACCTTACTCCTCAGAAACGGCTTTACTGATTTTTACCAAATTTTATATGCATATTCAGTGGGTCTGAGAATCGGCTACTATCTATTTTAGATACCCCTAACCACTTAGGGGTATCTAAAATAAGGGTTGTTCACCCTTCACATTTTTTTTTTAAATTTTTGGACAAAAATTTTTTTTTTTTATTTTTTTATGATACAGCATACAAAAATACATACAGCCCTAAATTTTAACCCCTCTACGCAGAGGTAGTCGCGGGCAGCAGCTAGTAATAATAAAATAATTTACGGATACTCTCGTGTAATTTTATTTTTAACGCCCGAAGTTTCCATCACTTTGCAGAATCAATGTGTGACGTAATAAATACGTTATTATTAATTGCATGGTATTCGTGTAATCACAAATCATGAAGGATTGGATTTATTGTTATGCATCGTGTCTTTACTACGTTGTAATTGATATGGATCAATGACAAAGACGGAAGAAGACTGGAGATACAGTTACCGGAGACTTCACCGGTAACTCTTATCTCTATCTCTTCTTCCTTTCTTTATAGCTTCTCTTTAATATCCCTAGTCCCTATTGTAGGTTAAAGGTAAATATAACGTAAAACCCATTTATTTCTTCGCACTGTTTACTGTTAATATAATATAGTATGCTCAAATAGTAACAAAATATTATAATTCATTTAGATTGGTCATTTTTCAGATGTAGCTTTAATGAAAATTTTGGGTAGCCCGTACTTTGTCCATAAAATACTAGATAATATATTCATTTGAAGAAATGTTAACTTTTCTAATTGACCTACGATATTAATTTGCTAAATTAAAAAATAACTACAAATATTGTATAACATAATTAAATTTATACGGAACCCTCATTGAGCAAGTCTATTATTATAAAAAAGCAACATTTAAACGAGCAATTCTTGTATATATATATATATATATATGTATATATAGTATATATATACATATATAATCGGAATCTCGGAAACGGCTCCAGCGATTTTCATGAAATTTAGTATGTGCGTAGATTCGGGGGCGAAAAATCGATCTAGCTAGGTTTCATTTTTAGAAAATGTCCTTTTATCCCTGTTATAAAAATATCATTAAATATGACAGTAAATTTTGAAGCAAAAAGATGTTACAATGGCTCGGTCGGTAATCGGGCGGCCCCAACCAAAACAGACGGCCGCCGTTCGTATCACGATCATTTACACACTTTTTTTTTTTTTACTTTTTTTTCTATACCAGATCATTTTCTTTATTTTTATATTCCCAAAATACATGATTTACCAAAAAAAAAAAACCGAGCAAAGCTCGGTCCTGCAGGTACTTATAAAAAAGCAACATATATTTGATGCTGTGAAAATGCAGTCTGCATTAAGTCCGCATAGGTATGTATGTACAATGTTTTGTGCATGAAGTTTTTAAAATAAATAAATTCCTGCCTCAAGATTCATGACGAATAACGAAAGATCCTACCTTTGTTGTTTCTTATAAAAATGTCATTCAGTTTCTTTGTTACAAGTGTTATTAAGAACAGATAAATGAATTTTTAAACGCTAATGATTTTATACATAGCTCATAAGCAAATTTAAAATTTTATTTACTATTTTCAATTGACCAGGGCCGGATGTTAGTGAGGGCAACTGGGGCAATAGATAGAGACTTCGAAAAAAGATTCAAATTCAAACTAGTAAACAATAGTGAACATCTTTTCCTTTCATATTTTTTTTCGCGTTTTACTTTTACCTGTATTATTTTGTACAAACATATTTACATTAAATATTAACAGTAGTTAATAGAAAATAATTTGGGGCCAACGGGCCTCCTCTCCTTTGTTGCCCGAGGCCTCCAGACCTCTAAATCTGGGCCTGCAATTGACGACACCTACACAAGGTGATATTGAGTGTCAATACAACAACTGCGCCTATATTGTGCAACTTGCAATAGATTTTAGTCCTGCCAATGATAATAAATATGCAGTATATAATATAATTGAGGTGCATTATATTTCAGTGTATTACCGTTTAACATTTCTAGTTCGATCTAATGATCGAGTCATTTTATATGGAAAACAATATTATAAAGATGTCCGTCCTCTTACCAGAGCGGGCCATAAACGAGTGATTTTTGTGAATTTTATTTAGCTTAAATAAATTCAATCAGCTATTTATCTTTAACATAAGAGAAGAGATCATACCGGGTTGACAAGTAATATTTAAGGCAAGTCCACCGTAACTTTTCTACTAAACAGAAAGGTAAATAGAAAGAAATAAACTTTTATTTCTATTTTGTTCTTATTATATTTCTTAAAAAAATTAAGCTTTACTAAAAGCACACCAACAAAAAACTAAAACTGTTTCTGAAGTAGCTTAGTAGTTGGTGTATTATTGACGCCACTTTAAATAACGAAGTTATGTGTAACATCGTTAATAATTGAGCGGAGAGAAGAAGATAGATGTTTAACCTAATAATTAAAATTATAATGTTATATAAGTTAGATATTGACCTACCTTTTTAAAATAAGGACACTATTTTATAACATGAAAATGTTTTCGCCTAAAACGTTTCCGAACGGATCGACCGGCGGCGGATTCTCCCGCGTGACACGACAACTCGCCAGCTGCGAGTCTACTGTACTGTAATTGAAGTTGAAGCCACAAAGACTACTGATTGATGACTGCGAAATGACGAAATAGTAAGTCTGCAAAGAATCCGTCGACGAGATTGTAAGATTACATTATCTGGTTTTAATCTACATATTTGGTTTCCAAAATATAGGTGCAAATGAATTCAAAAATTTTCAGTTAATTTCAAATTGTTGTTCTTGTGATTGATTACCTTCATTATAAATGCAAAATAGGATGTGTACGGAATGCATTTTATTTTAGACAGAGATTATTTCTGGTCTATTTTATTTACTATTTCATCATCAATTTCATCTCATTATTTATTTACTACAAAAAAAATTAGTAACTAATGTACTGTGCCTGAATTAATTTCATATATATTTTAAATTGTTAATTTTGAAGATAAATGAACAGAAATTTTTGGCGCTGCAGGATTCGAACCTGATATTTTAGTATATAAAGCCAAGGTAGTTCTTATAAACTCGAAGCCTATTATTATAATAATTAAAATTTAAAAAATTAAACTGTAAACTGTTTGGGCCTCGTTTTCAAATACATACCTAATGTTACCTCCAAGCAATCACGAACCTAATAAGAATCTTTTTGTCATTTTAAAATATATCTTGATATAAAAAAGTTTTTTATTATTGTATTAATTTAATTATGGTGTAATATAATTATGGTATAATATTTAATAAGGCAATCCTATTTCGTGATTCCTTGTATATATATAATACCAAGAATAAGATAACATTTTTAGAGCGGCAACATTCATTTATCGTCAGCCAACCGGTCACGGTCAAAGCCATTATGACGTCATAAAAACAAACTCATCATGAATGAGTATCTCAAAAAATTATCTTAGCTGAAAAAAGTAACTACCTATTCAGTTTTAACAATTTTTTACGTCAGCTTAGATTCGTTAGGAAACTTAATTCAGTCCACGCGTCTTTGCTGACATAACGAAAATAAATTTTACATATAGTTAAAATACACTAATTTGGCGTCATGTTTTGACGTTACAAATAATGATATTATGATATACAAATAAGAGGTAGATATGACACTATCGCACCGAAACTGAGGCACCTTACACCAATTGGTGTAATTAAATTTGCAATTCTATATGCACTGCTATCTATAACAGTAACAATTTTTTAAACGCCGCGCAGTATGGATATGCATCATACATATTACATCATTATTACAACTTTATATAAACCTGTCGCCTAATAGAGTCGCATCTTTGTTTATTTCTTACTTATTATTTTATTAATTATTTTTCAGTACTCCTAAAATTCTGACTCCCATCTATTACTTTGATTATTTTCAATATGTTATGATTCCTATTGTTATCACCAGTGTATTCACCATGTATTCGAAAGTTGAATTGATAAGAAAAATAATTTTGTACAAACTTCATTATGTCAACATTGCACAATGTAAGAGGAATTTGCCATAAACCAAGCGTCTTCTAAAAATAAAATAAGTGAAAGAGACAGGTATATGCTCTGTCTCTTTGAATATGCATCAGTCATCAAAGTACACCGATCTGAGAAGTTATTTTAGTATTTGTTGTAATTGACTTGAATGTAATATAAAACCTTATTTATATTTCAGATATCGTCACGTCAGATTCAGATGAGATGATATCAGGAAACAAATAATTAATATGACAAAAGGTTTAACGATAATAATTTGAGAATATTTTCGTAAATTTTAGCAACTTTTAGGTGCAACCAATTCAATAAAATACCAATAGGTTCTTGTACGGAACGGAGTGAAATGATGATGATGATGAATATCGTTATTTTTAAAAAGAGCTGAGTTTTGTTAATTTTCGTTCATCTTTTTGACATCTTTATAAAACCGTTCACCATGCTCCTCTCTGCAGCTGCCCAATTTCATTTTCCCCAAAAACACAGAAACTGCCATGGTATTTTGTTCTGATTCCGACATTCAATTTTGAAGTTTTGTGTCCTTAATCAGTTTCCTGGTGTCAGGTCTCTTAATTGTATATTTCAAAGAATAATACTTGAAGATTTTTACGATCGGCCGCCTGCCTGAGGTCGACCCTCCTTGGTAATAAGCACCCCGATCTGGAACAATTGATATTTGGGGGGTGCTATTGTGGGACACGCAAATACTTGTTTCGTGAGAGAATCGAACCGTTAGCGCCGAAGTGCTTAGCGTAATTACGCGTCATCGTAGGATAGTTCATATGGAATTATGAAATAGTAGTAACATTACTCACAAAATGTTACCGTAGTAATTGGATTTTCTATGAACGAAGATATAGAATCGGACAGGACAGGATGCAATAAAGAATTTATTTATCCCCTCACCCGTAAACCGACAACTACAAGTCTCGATAAATTGAAAACAAATGTGATGTGTCAATACAGTTAACAAATGATAACACATTAGAGTACCTACTCACTTCTTATGGGACGTAATTGTGTTGCATATGTGTGCAACAGAGATAACGCTTTACAAAGCTGAAATTAGCCTATGCCCTATTGAATCAATGAATTAATTAATGTCTTTATTGACAGAATATGGTAGTACATTGTGATCTTAATTATCATAATTTGGTGCAACATATTCTTCAGCATATAGCCTTCAGCTTGCAAATGTCAATTAGACATTAAATTGTACGCTCAATGATTTCCACTAAAACATTAAAATTATTATTTGTGTATTATTTATCTCTTTCCAAAAAAAAAATTTATCGCTGAGTAATATCATTGGATCAGTGTAATAATTATGTGTAAGCGATGGTTAAAACCTTTGTTTTAGCCCAAAAACTTCAAATAATTAAAAAAAATTATGAACTGAATATATTTTAGTTTTAATTCCCAAACGGCGTTACCGAATGTATAATCTAATAAATTCCATACTAGACTCTATACAATGTTGATGTCTCATATGGGGGATTAGTCGAAAAAGTGTCCACTTGTAAACAGCAAATTATTGTTCGAACTCTCACCGAAATAGCGCTAGTTTAGCAAGTGGAAATGATATGAACTTAGCAGTTATAAGCAGAGTGAAGTGTGCTGGGTTTTAATTTAATTTTTTTGTTTCTTTAATTTTATTCCATACTCATGTTTGTCTATATATTACAATAAAATTTAAAAAATTGCGCTGTAACAAAGCGGAAATGTTTCTTTCCTTTTTTAATTTAGTATCCTACTCTAATAATTTGTGGCGCTCTATTTAAAATTCTTCCACTTGCTACTCTAGCGCCACCTTAATTTGCTCCCTTTCAACGGACACTTTTTAATACACTGAGATGGTCCTCCTTTATTCTACCCTCGATATTTTTAGTGATAACAGAGGTATTAAAAGGAAAATAGGTTTCTTTTTATTAAAAAAAGATATTTATTTAAGAGCTTCAACGCGGACGGAGACGCGGGCGAAATGTTAGTATACAGCGTGTCGTTACCACCGCGACAATAAATGAACACACATATAGAGGATAACTTTTTAAAATTGTATTAAGCATTTACATTCTTTAAACATCAATATTTACGGAGTTATTAAATTATCTAAAACAAACAATTTTAGAACACCCTTACATATTAAACTGTAACGTAAAGTTCATTTGTAAAGGTCACAAAGCATATGAATGGGTTCGAATGAATTTAAAAGAGACAAAACATACTATTAGAAGGAGAGGCTTGTAATGCGACGCTGTGGCGCGAGTTGTATAGGTGTTACAAATTTTGTTTCTTTTTTACTTAATTAGTTTGTTTGAAAAATATATTTTTTTAATTATGGATTTTGTTTAACGTTAATATTTTTTATGATTATTGGCAAGTAGCGTTAGACGTGTGTTCATTTATTGTCGCGATGGTAAAGACACGCTGTATAGTATAGGCAAAAATATTAGTCTGTTTTTTATCTCCGAGACAAAATTGACAAATGCAAATGTTAAATTTACACAACGATGCCAGTTGTTTATTGCAGGGCTGTACCTACGAAACCGGTTTGTTGAATCGAAACTTTATTTTTTTTGTAATTTTATCTTTACTAGGCGATTAGAATAATTTTAAAAATTCAAGATTAATTATGATAATATGCGGTAGACAAATTAATCTTTCATTTTAAAGACAGTGTAGCTCATGTAATTAAAATAGACAAAGAAATGTATCATCTCGGCCATATTGTGGATGACATTCCTGATGGATTTATTATAGAAGCTGGCAAGTCTGATGATTCAGAATATTCTTCAGACATGGCGTCATTCCAATTTAATGAATACTTGTTATTAATTAAATAATTAAAAATATATGTTTCACATTATACTTATCTGTCATGTACCTTTTTAATTTTGTAATATTTACATTTTTAAGGGTAAATTATTAATAAAAAAATATTCCTGATGTTATTAACGTGAATTTCCGATAGTGGCACATCACTATTTAACAATTACAAAAAATATATCTGTGTATTAGTTATTTTACGCATAAAGCATTATATTTTTGAAATTTAGAATATTTTTTATAAACTATTTTGAGAAATAATATGCCGAGGGCTGTTGGAAGCCCTAGTAGACCTATAATCATTAAATAAGGAAAATTAAAAAAAGGAACTGCAATTATTGTAAAACATAATTAAATTTATACAGACCCACATGAGCGAGCTTAACGCGCTCTTCTACGGTTTTGTTAAGACACAAAAAATAAGCAACGTAATCACGGCTGAAATTACAGCCTTCGAGATTCGAAGGCGAAAGACCCTTTTTTGTTTCAACAAAAGATTAGTCTTGCCTGTTAAGAACAGATAAATCACATTATTAATAGCGTCTAGGTAAATGCTTAATCTCTTTGCTATTTGCACAACAGAACATCAATAACACAACTGTGCATATAATGTGCAACGTGTAATAACTTTATGGACACAATAACGAACGCGCGGGAAAAAAAAAACTAACGCCATTGACTTATTCAAGCGAGCTGTTTTCTTTATTAGGGTTTGATATATAAAGAATGTGATATATAACGGACACAGATGTTAAATAAAATATAGATACCTATGCAGTCAATTGACAAATTTATCTTGTATCTTGTATTAACTGATGTTTTTGCTTTCAGTCCCGAGACTATTAAAGCTTCATCTGACGCAGAACCGATGGGCTAGCCAGAACCAACAGGTTTGGGCCCTCCGCTGTGGGTAGGGCCACGCATGTGCTCATGCGTGCGTTTAACTATGGTGTGTCATCTAAGTGTTTTGCCTATACTAAGGGCCATCGAGGTCGTGGTTCGGACCGAAACCCCGATGGCCGTCGACTGAGCAATTAGCTAATCGGTGGCTGGGGGCGGTGAGAACCGCCCCGGAACGCGGGTGTACCTTGTGTACGCGTTGTGTTGGTCTCGCCGTGCTCGGAGGCGAGGGTGAACTGTTGTTGCACTAACTGTGGGTGTAGTGTTGTCCGGCGGGACCCCCGGCAGTGGGTCCGGCGTGTCTAAGTCCCCTTCCTCGACCGGGTCGATTAGGACGTTTCGCGGGCGACGCTTGTTGACGTTCGCGTTTTTGTCGGGTTGGTAATTTGCTGAGCTTACCACCAGAGGGTTGGGATGATGTTCGGCTCTATCGAAGAACCGTTTGGTCAGGTCTTTAAAATATTCGCGAATCGTCGGGAGTCTGCAACGCTGTGCAGGTCGACGTTGCGTTGATACCACTGCGCACCGGTTGCGCGGCGGATGAACTTATTTTGTACTATTTACAACTTGTACAAGCGAGTAGGGTGCG